TAGAAATGTTTCATAGGGATACCTGGGCTGTAAATCTTTACACACGTGTGTCCCATGGAGTGGCTGGTGGCCTCAAACAGCTGGCTTTACAATTGCCAGCCAGGTGCTTATACCACTGTGCCATCATGGCTCCCCCAAAACCAAACCTACTGCAATGAATTCTGTTCTGATTCATGGAAACCCTACAGGGCAGAACAGAACTGCCCATTTCCAAGGCTGTCAATCTTCATAGGAATAGGCTGCCACGATGTCTCTCTCCTGTAAAGCAGCTGGTGGGTCCAAACCATCAATCTTCTGATTAGCAGCCAAGCACTCTCACCAGTGAGCCACCATGGCTTCTTCTCAGTAATAACACAATCATATTTAATAGGAGTGTTTCTCTTTTATTTACAAACAGGTGTTGTGGTGTGTTACATTGCTTTTATATGGCCTTTCTCACCATGGGCTTGCAACTTATATATTGATGGGGTGGGACTATGCACATAAGGCGATCGTGGCCCCTGAAGGAGAGTGGACAGATTGCTGATATTTGAAATAAGGTGCATAGGACCCATGTGAGAGTGTGACCATGCAAATATGGTACATGGAACCCTCAAATCGGGATCGGCCAGCTTTGCCATCCTGGTAGGCTTCAAGAGCCAGTCCATCCCAGAGGAGAAGCGGTTCTTCATGACCAGCAAGCAAGAGCCAGGCGTGGAGTACGCCCTTTTGATCTAGGGTTCCTGTGATGAGAACCCCAAGGCCTGAGGTTTCCCAACTTGGCAGATCATTGAAATCACCTGGGGATCTGATGAAATTACTGGTCCCTGGGATCTTTTTGTATCCTAATGAATCTGAATCCCTAAAGGGAGGAACTCAGGGAATCTACAGTTTCACCAGATCCCTGGAAGATTCCAATCAATGATCAGCCAAGTTTGAGAACCTAGCCCTAGAGCCAGAAGTCAGAGAGACATGTAAGAGCTGAGGTGACATGAGATGGTGAGATTCATGGCAGAGCATCCTAGCAGCAGAACCAATAGACCTGCCCACAGAGCGAGGGGTGACACCCGCAGAGCAAGAGGGGTGAGCAGAAGGCTTGCTGGCAGAGTGGGCTGCCTCTGAGCACTTACCAGTGAATCTTAACAGCTTTGTTAACACTTACCCAAAGACAAGCAGAGGATTGGCCAGAGAGGGATTTGCCTGCATGCAAGTGCAAGAAAGTGTCCTGACTGAGGAGTTACATCCTGAGCTGTACTTGATCCTGAACTGTAACATGCTATTTCCTTAATAAGCCACATAATCATTGAGTGTTGCCTCTGCGTTCGGTGTGGTCGTTGTTACGAGTTATCAAGCCCCTCGGAGAAGAAGAAGAGAGCCGTGGGAGGGATGGCTAGTGTCAAACTTAGAGGAAGGAGGAGTCATGTCTGACCTCTACCTCACAAGAAATCGGCCTGTGCTAATGCTGATGATTGTCTGACCTGGTGACGTTATATGAAGCCAGACATGGCCGTGCTGCCGTGTTTCACAAGAAAGAATAAAACGTAGGTTGTCCTGGTCTTATTAACCACCAACTGCATCAATAAACCTTTTGAATTTCAAAATACATGCTTATAGGATCCATTTCAAAGTATTGTGCAATGATCCATTTACTAGATAAGTTTAAGTTTTCAGAAAATGAAGCCATTAAATCATTTTAACATAAAAATATCAGTTTTGTGTATATCTTTTCATTACCGCCTTATCAATATCTATGAAAACTGTATGGAGAAGTTGTACTCTACAACACA